CCCCAAAACCCCAAAACCCCAAAACCCCAAAACCCCAAAACCCCTATGTCTTGAAGAATAATTGATAAAGATCTTATAAAATAAGAATAAAAAATAAATTCAAAAAATTTTGAGAGAAAATAGTTATAAAAGATTGGAAAATTTTCAAAGGAAAAATTCCTCTCAAAGCAAGCAAAATAATAGATTTCAAAATCATTTTGACCGTAATTCTTATCCAAAAAACTAAGTCGATTTACCAGTGTTTTACAAATTTATCTGACACCAAGTTAAGGTCAACTTTTCCTTTAATTCCATCTAGATCTCCTACACAAAACTGAACGAAGGAAGAATTTTCGTATTTCGATGGATTGTAATAATCCCAGAGACGTTCAAGATATCCTGGCTTCTGGTCTAAATACGTAATCCAGAGGAAGCAATCTTTCCAAAGCTCCTGTGATTCTTTTTCATCAAGATATGTCTGCCAATGGCCTGTGTTTCAGTAAATAATCTTTTTATTGTACCCTTTGTCTCCCATTCTTTTCATAAACTCCTTCACAGCATTCGTCCAAACTTTTCTATCGGTTGTTTCAATAGATTTTTTACGCTCCTCTGGATATTTAGGGCTCGGATGCTCAACATCAAGAGCTATCCAATCCAGTTTTTTATCAAAGTTCCCTCATTTCTGAATCATTTCATCAAACAAATCAGCTTGTTGCTCAATATTTTCGTTGACCCACAAAAAGTGATAAGGTCATTTTAATTTTAAATCTAGAGTTTCGGTTACTTTTTGAATGTTTGTTTCATAGCATTCATCAACACCTTCTGTTGCATATGTTCATTGAAGGAAAACAAAGGCAAGTTCTCTATCTAGTAGCTTGCAGTCTCTAACTTTCTCCCAATCTATTCATTTCTGAAAATGAGATACATCAATGCCGTAATATTTCTGTATAATATTAAAACCTATAATTTCTTTCTTGATTTCGCTGTGCATGTATGGCTTCAAGATTTGCCATTTCTTTCTCTTCTTATTCAAATCCTTTTCATTTTTGATTTCTTTTTCAGGTTCTTTTGGAGGTAATTCTTTCTCAAAAAAATTACATCCAACTTTTCCTGTTATTCCATAAAAAGTTTCATCAGTACTAACCTGGCGCAAGGTTGCCAATTCTTCAATAGGAGTTTCCTGTATCTTCAATTGGAAAGAATCCTGATACATTCCTATCTCCTTCTTTTCCTCTTCAGAATAGAGTTCATTTGAGGATTCTTCCAATTTCATTGATTTGTCTTTGCTCATTATTTTGGGAAAATCTTTGCTGAGCATGATCATAGGTTTTATGTATCCTTCTTCATCTACATCATTTATGAAATCTTGGATCTGTTGAGCTACTTCATCAGCGATGCTAGATCCTCCATTCCTGCAAGTTGCAAGATATAGTTTAAAGTCTAGATACACAGCTGTATAGTGAATGCCTCATTTGAAATTCTTGTAGTCTGTGTCAAGAAGAGATAAGAAATTCTTTGCTTGCTTTTTACCACTAATGTTAAAATCATAATGGTGATAAGCAACTTTCTCAATATTATTACCTGTGGCTTTGGAAGATTTCCACAAATAATGTTTATCAGCAAATTCATATCCTTTAGTAGCTTTGATAAGCAGTAATTCAAGTGTTCTCCCTTCAAACTTCAAGCCCTTCACATCACCCATATCTTTAATATCAGTCTCGTCTGAAACATCAAGACAGAACACATCATCACGATTTGCAAAAAGCTCCAGATCAAATTCTCCATGATCGCTCATATCTGAATTGGAATCAGACCCAGCACATTCTTTCCAATTATTCATTTCCTGTATCATCTCACTAATCGAGCTCTCCATTTTATTATATTCTTTTATTTTATTTCCAATAGTAATACGCATAAAAGGGGTTTTGGGGTTTTGGGGTTTTGGGGTTTTGGGGTTTTGGGGTTTTGGGG